CCCCCACGCTCCTCCCAGGGGGTGCCCTCCTCCGTGGCTGGGGCTCACCTGGTCAACCCCCCCTCCCCTTGGTCCTCTGTTGCAGAGGACTTCTCCTCCATGCCCCCCCCGGTTCCCTCCTCTGTGGCTGGGGCTCACCTGGTCAACCCCCCCTCCCCTTGGTCCTCTGTTGCAGAGGACTTCTCCTCCATGCCCCCCCCATTGCGGGGCTCTGTTGCCAAGCCCTCCCCTCCCCATGGGTCTCTCTTGTGGGAAGTGCCCTTGGGGTCTGTCATTCCCTGTCACTCATCGCAAAGCCTGTTGCCAGCCACCTCCTGTCCCAGAAGGACCATTTCACCCTTCTCCACAGTGCATCGGCCTCCGGGCTGGGATGTAGCAATTGTTTAAAAGCCACCAGTAACACTGCATACCAGTTTAGGGCAAGGACTGGCAAAAAATTCTGTTACCTGGACCTTGCAGGGGAGTCCAGGTGGGTAGAACACAGTTACCAACATTGTAATTGACCTGGGGCATTGGGGTTAACAACACAAAACTTAAACGTGGTTGGCCCTGCTGTGAGGGCAGGGGATTGGATTTGATACCCTTTCAGTTCTGGTATTCTGTGATTCTCTGCCATGGGATTGCTAATGATCACCAAGTCAGCATGGGTGACACATGTCCTGCTTCCTAAGTCCAATTCTTGAGACCAGTGACGCACCTGATCTAAACAGACACTTAGGTCTGTCGATTATGGATACTCGTAGAGGTTGCTCAGTTGCATAATTCTTCCTTCGAATTCCGGCTACAGCAGTATCCCAGATAACTTCAGCTTTCAGCTGAGATGTGTGAACTGGCTTTACATTTTGTTCTTCTCACAATAATTGAATGTTTGTGGAGAATGGAGACGTTCCGTGTCCATTTGTAGGGGATGTTTGTGCGTACGTGTGCAAGAAAGAAGGGGGATCTTAGCTGAAGATGAAGTTGTCTTTATATGGCAAACATCATTTGAAATTAACAAACATATTTTAGAGAATTCCCTGCCAGAGAGAAGAGGGCTTAGGCAAATAGCCCCTCCGTTTGAAGTAACTGTGAGGCAGGGCAAAGGTGCTGTTTGTAGTATAAGAGCAAAGCGTGATGTCCAGTCCTTGGTGAAGAATAAGGACAGGACTTGGCAGCATCCCCTTCCATGCCTCTTCTGTTTGATCACTGCCTGGACACCCCTTTGTTGCCAAAACGCTCTGCTGCAGAAATGACAGCTGAATATTTAGCAACTCAGGATGGGGAGATGATTCTGTGGAAGTGAGTCAGCACCATTTTTAATGAAGCAAGCTACTCTGCTGCATGAAATAGTAAATTACATGCATGTAATTAAATGGAGGCTCTCAGAGAAGCATCTGTTTAATGCACAAAAGCAATACAGGCAAAGGATCAGAGCTTCTCCAAGGCTGGTCCCTGCCAAGTCACTGAACCGTTGTCATGACAGTATTGAAGGCTTTTCGTGGCATTAAGAACCACTTCAGCTGCAGAAGTCCTTGGAATAATGCAGCAGCGAGTAACTTTGGCATCCTGTTCTGGATTGCACGAGGGACAAGATTTGGCCAAGGAAATGCACAAGGAAACCTCACAGAATTTGTATCAATGATTGATTTGCATAAAGGTGGGGGGGTTGCTGTGCTTAGAAATCACTTAGAATATTAAGACCCACTCTTGTAGTGCCAAGTGTCTGCAAGGATGGGAAATCAAGTGCGATGAAAAGGCACAACGCAGGCAAACAATGGTACCCATGTGTCTGCAAGCCCTTAGAACATCAAGGAGTGGGTAGGGGAATTAAAGGGGATGAAGCAGTTGGAGAGAAGGTAAATCAGCAACCTTCCTAAAGCAGATGAGAAGGAAATCCCTATTTCAGGAAATCAGAGAATGGCAGGAACAGAGCAAGACGGCTCTGAGGAAGAGATTACAGAACAGCTCAAGTAACTTGAATGCAGGCAGCTCCTGGAACCAGATGGCATTGACACGAGATCGGAAGGAACGAAAATGTGAGGCTGTGGTATGGGCAGGGATCTGGGACTGGTCCCAAACCAGCTACTGAACCTGAAGAATGGAAATTCACCACTGCGGTTATCTTCCACAGAGGATCCAGGGTGACAATGAGAATTATGAACATGCCTCATGGCCGCACCGGGAAAACTGATTGGCTGTG